TATTATTATTATTATTATTTCATTAGATTTCTGTTGTATACACATTTCTTTCCGGGGCCTAACCAGAGACCTAAGGTCAGAAATGGCTCTATGACATTTTCCACTGATATTTTTTTGTAAAAAAACAAAACGTAACAAAACAAGGAAAACCCTAAGATCACACACATTTTACATAAAGCTCTTCGTAATGCGAGGATTGTACTTGTGAGTACAATTTTTTGTATTTCTTTAAGGCATGGGCTACCATTATTATTATTATTATTATTATTATTATTATTATTACCCCTCCTCGTCATTGTACTTCCTCCTTTATCGATCAAATGAATTTTTTGCTATTCGCCCGATATTTAAAACAAAAAATATTAGCAAACGTAACAAAAAATTCTGATCTTTAAATTTTTTTACGAAAACCAGAAATCATTCAAATATGCCTTTTTTCCACGGTACATACATATGTATATATGTCAATACTTTTGTTTTGTGTCTAAAATCGCAGGTACCTGCATCTATATGCGTGTACCCTTAAGATCCTGTAGTTGTATGTTTGCAAGTGTTTGCTGAAATTGTCTCTTGTTGTCTTTGATTTTATGATCAACACCACCCTTTTTTTTCTGCCTTAAATCCGCCACCCGCCTTTGAACAAACATTTATACGGACAAGCTATCAACAACAAAAAAGGCACCTCTAACTGCAGACTCCGTGCTGATGATATTCAGCCAATACCTGGAACACGCCCGGCACGGCTTTTAACCAGGGGAAAGAAAGAAAATTGACGCTAAACACCCGGCCAGTAACTTCAGCGTACACAATCCCACAGTGCGTATCTTTCAGCTAAAGCGGCAGGAGGGGCCGTCCTGATGGATAACTGTTATGATAGGCAGGGCTAAAACGATTTTAAAGCCACGCCTCTATCTGTCCCATTCATTCATTTTATAAGCCGTGTGTGTGTGTGTGCGTGTGTGTGTGTGTGTGTGTGTGTGTGTGTGTGTGTGTGTGTGTGGAGATAAGCTTTTATTTTTACTTGATATGTATTATCTGGAAAATGAGTGAACAATGAAGAATTTGAGTTACTTATTTAGAAGAAAAAAAATGGTGCAAAAATAAAAATAAAAATAGCACAATTTAATTGATGTCAAAATCCGCGAATAATTTTCCAGTAATTGTTTTCGTTTCTCCTACAAATGGCAATATGAAAATATAAAAGAATGTGGCACCCAGTGTGGATCGAAGTTACTACTCAAATGTTTTCTAAGCGCTGCTTAGATGTGGCACAAGGCCGAAAGTATGTAGCACCCTGTGAGAATCGAACCTCACTACTCAGTTGTAATTGATTTGTAAACAGTACTTATGTATGTAAAATTTCGAATATATATGAAAAGAAACGTTATTCTCTACAAATAAATAACCCCAGAGGATGGTTTTATTCATCCGATCTCCCTTTCTCCTTTTTCTTAATTTCCTTTTATTTCGCTTTCATCTTAGTCTCTCTCTCTCTCTCTCTCTCTCTCTCTCTCTCTTCTTTCCCTACCTGTTCCTATCAACAATTCCATCACCAACGTCATCATCAGAATCATTTTCCGCCTCCTTTGTCTACTCCTTCTCCACCCCCCCACCCCCAACTTTTCTCCTCCTCCTGTTACTTGATCTCTCTTTTTACCTCTACCACCACCTTCTTTCTGCTTTCTTCCATCTCTCTCTCTTTTATAATTCTTCTCAGCACGGCGCCCTCTCGGTGAGTCGCAAACATCTTGTGTGTGAAAATGAAAAACCCATAATAACGACACTACCGGCTTAGGACTTTTCTTTCTTTTTTTTTTTTTTTTTTTTTCGACTTCATCAGCCAACTTATACTGCAGTACTACATTCTGTACTAGTTGCAGTATTAGTGGTCACAATATTAGTACGGCTGCCGTTGTGATTGATGTTGCTGCTGATGTTAGTAGAGGTAATCGTAAGTGGAGGGGGTGTAAATAAGTACTTTACATACACATACCACATACCAACGAACTAAAATAAAAAAAAAAGAGAGAAAACTGTTATAAACATACGTACACTAGTAATTGACTATAATTTGTATTTGAGCCTGAAGTAATATTTTTGAAAGTCAGAAGCGAATTGACTCCTCCCTCCAGAGATTTTATTTTATCAATCCTACACTCTCTTTCTTAACTCAGTCTGCTTTTGTTACTTCTTTCTTTCTTTCTTTCTTTCTTTCTTTCTTTCTTTCTTTCTTTTCAATTTCTGGTTCATTTTCGTTGGCTTTTTTTTTTTACTGGGTTTATTTATTTATTCAAATTTTTCAGCATTTTCATTTCATTTTTTTTCTCCTGACTTTCCCTCTCTCTCTCTCTCTCTCTCTCTCTTTCTCTCTCTCTCTCTCTCTCTCTCTCTCTCTCTAAAACATAGATTTTTCTTTTCTTCTTTTTTTCTCCCTCTTCTCCCTCTTTTACTGCTTTTTTCCGTTTTTTTTTTCTCCTTTTATTTTTCTTCTCTTCCGTAGTTTCGCTTTCATTACAGCTCTCTTTGTCTTTCTTCGTCGAGAGAATTAACTTACTATTTTATATTCAAATGTACCTTCTTTAATTCTTATTTATTCCCTTTGTTCTCTTTTCTTCTCTCTTCTTGACTTCTCTCTTCTTGACTTCTCTCTTTTCTTTTTCTTACTCTTTCTCCTACTTTCGTGCCTCTACTTTTCCCCACTCCGTCCTCATCACTTATTTATTTCTTTTATAAGTCGAAAAAGCGCTGGGCGGTATGAAGTATACGAGAAGAGAGTACTTCAATTAAACATCAACCAGAACTGCTAACTGGCGTGTATACATCGTTAGCCTTAAACACTAGCTGAGGCGAATTTGCAACAAACAATGATCAGAAATGAAATGGAGCGACGCGGGAAACAGAGCCGCGGTGATTTAAAAAAAAAAAAAAAAAAAAAAAGAAAGAAAAGTGAGCCAAAAAAAGATTCTTGAAAACAAGAAAGACAAATGTACTGAAAGCGAAACGAAAACTATTCATTTAACAATTATCAATAGCCGAATTATTATTTGTGCAACTGAAATTACGGAATAAATTACTAATAATATATATATATATATAATATACACGAAATATATATATATATATATATATATATATATATATATATATATATATATATATATATATAAAAAAAATTACTCAATGGGAGCCAAGCCCCAAATGAAATAATATCTAGGGAATCTCTTCTTGAGGTCGGAATAGAAATCCTCTTTCTCTGTTTGTGTCTCTCTCTCATATATATATATATATATATATATATATATATATATATATATATATATATATATATATATATATATATATATATATATATATATATATATATATATATATATATATATATATATATATAAATAAAAATCCGTAAGTAAGTAATCCAAGTGCATCCTATTAATATAAGATATAAGAAAGGGGTCAATATATTTATTATAGATCATAGAAATGAATTACATAAAAATGAAGCGAAGTGGCCATAAAGTTGCAGTTGAGTTTCATTTTACGTAATTCATATATATATATGTGTATGTGTGTGTTTTCTCAGAATTAACCTGTAAAAAAAGACAATATGTATAAAGGATATATAGATAGATAGATAGATAGATAGATAGATAGATAGATAGATAGATAGATTGATGTATATATCAGAACAGAATATATATAGTTTAAATTAATATAGAAGTAGTTTTATTTTAGATGTATATATATATATATATATATATATACATATGAAAATATATACATTACTTGCTATATGTGTAGATAAAGAATGTTCACTATCATGAATAAAGAATATGCAAACAGTTTAATAGATAGATAGATAGATAGATAGATAGAGAGAGAGAGAGAGATACGAGGTGATAGGCTTATGAACTCACTTGCTTACCTAAACACAGAGTTAATTCGTTTTTACCGAAATATCAGACGAACACACAAATGGGCAAAGTTTACAATTTACGAAAGAAAATTGCAAAAGAAGGCATTCCATAAACATTATGTCGTAAGGCTTCGTTTTCATATAAATTATAAGTGCGAATTTATGTGTTTATATTAATAATCATGAGTCCGCAAATGTACAAAAAATAGGTATATAGGAAAATTAATTGGGTTGGTGCGTAATTATCAGGCGTTTTTCTGGGCGAGATATTTGTTAAAAATAGCTGTATTGTTTACTTTTTTAAAAAAAATTTGTGTTGATCATCATACGCTGCGGAATGATTATTTAAAAACGTTATTGTTGAATTGTTATTTTTTTTTTCATAAAAAATATTATTTAAAAACGCCTGATAATTATGCACCAACCCAAAATATATATATATTGAATATGTTTCTGTATTACCTCCTACATTTTACAAATATATATATATATATATATATATATATATATAAATATATATATATATATATATATATATATATATATATATATATATATACATATATATATATATAAAAAATATATATATACATATATATATATATATATATATATATATATATATATATATATATATATATATATATATATATATATATATATATATATATATATATATATATATATATATATATATATATATATATATATATATATATATATATATATATATATATATATATATATATATATATATATATATATATATATATATATATATATATATATATATATATATATATATATATATATATATATATATATATATATATAAAATTTACGAGTTAATATAGAAACATATTCAATATATATATATGTGTATGTGTAGTTGCTTGTGTGCATTTGTTAAATGTATGAGGTAATATAGAAACGCACAAATTTTGGGGGAAAAATCTTGTTTTTAAATAAAAGAATAGAGTGGTATCAAAATTTGTGTCTAAAGGAAATGATACATTGTCTGCAATTTTACCAAAAATTCTTAACCAACCTAAAGCATGTTATTTTTTGTTGTTTTTTTTTAATTAATTATCTACAAAGTTAATATAATATTTTTTAAAGAATAAAATTTAGAAAAAATTAAAACACAAAGGAAAATTTCATTAGGAATTTATTCTTCCACCTTTTCTTTTCAGGATTCTCTGGATTTGGTCCGGCATACTCTTAATGATATTTTTGCAGATGTCATCTCCTAGCAAACTGTTCCACTCTACAATAAAATTTTCAATCAAAGCTTTTATATTTTGAATGATTTTATTCGAAAATCTCAATTTTATTACACTCCATACATTCTCGATTAAGTTTAGGTCAGAAGATTGACATTTTTTCGGAAAAGTAATTTTTCATCTGCTTTGATGTGTGGCAGTGAGCATTGTCTTGCATAAAAATTAAATTTGATTTATCAATTTCGAATTTTTCGGCAGATGGCAGCAAACAGGTGTCCAATATTTTTGAGTACTGACTGCTGTTCAGCGTTTTGTTTACTGGTTTGAAAAATCTAGTCCCATTGAAAGCAACCCCAAACCATAAAAAATACTTCACAGTATTAACTGTCATTTTCAAAGGGTTTTCTTTGCTCCTCCATCTGATTTTTGTTTTTTTGTCTTTTGAAAACATTTCAATTTTTTTCTCGTCGGAGAAAAGAACATTTTTCCAATCAGACTCAGTGATGGATTTGTAAGTGTTTGCCCATGCTAAACGTTTAACCTTATGTATTTTATTTAGCAGTGGCTTAAAAACTTTTAAATATGTTTTATAACCTTCATTCAAGAGGTTTCTGTGTACAGTAGAGGAGTTCATTTACTTTGAGATCATTTTTCAAGCAATTTCTTTTCTTGGCAATTGACCGGTTTTAGTTAATTTCTTTAATGATTTTGCGGCCGGTTCTCTCAACGATCTTGTGTTTTCTACTTATGTTTTCTACCTTGACAAATGTTTCAGTCGAAGTGAAACTTCTCAAAACCATCGAGACATTTGATAGAAGTGTTAAAACTATTTGCAATTCCTCGAGTCGATTTACTAGCATTTGACACGGCAACTATTGCTACTTTAACAGATTGTGTTGTGTTCTTCTAGCTTTTCATAACAAATCACTAATTAATTATATTTTTAGCTTCTTTTTTTATGCATTAAAATAATTCTAGAACTTTTTTAGAAATCTCAACAATATTCTGGAATAAAATAATGGAAATAAAATTAGAAGGGCCTTTAAAATAATGACACATTTTTTAATGAGTCACCTTTTTGCACAATAGAAAACTTGTTAAATACTCAAAAATGCTTATTTTTTAATGATTTTTTTTTCAAAAAATTAATTGTTTCCATTTTTAAATTTTTTTTTACTAATAAGAGGTATATATATATATATATATATATATATATATATATATATATATATATATACATATTTATATATGCATATAGATTGCATAGATTTATATATACATATACACATATGAATATATAAATTTATAAATATAGACATTTATATATGCAAATATATATATATATATTTACATGTGCATATATATTTATTTATATATATATATATATGCATTTATACATATTTATATATGCATATATATATATATATATATTTATGTATGCATTTATACATATTTATGTATGCATATATATATATTTATGTATATATATATATATATATATATATATATATATATATATATATATATATATATATATATATTTAATGAAAAATAGACCACTTTTAAGGTACCATTACGATAATTTATTTCACCAAAATCCTTTTAAAGGATTTCGGATCATCAGGTAACACTTCCAACAATGAAATGAGAGGAAAAAAAATTGGTGAAATAAATTATTGTAATGGTACCTTTTTAAAGTGGTCTGTTTTTCATTAAATATTAGCTCTGTTCTTCACATTGAGCTCTCAGGATTTCATCCTCCTTGGATTTACCAATTGGCTTACCAAGTTCTTCATAACTTATATATATATATATATATATATATATATATATATATATATATATATTGTGACGCAATTCATTCTTCAGGATTTCATTATCTTGTTGCGACTATTTATATTTTAGATTCTAAAAATTAAAATATCCAGTCTTCGTTTTTCTCGCACCAACATAAATTTAATCCGATCAAGTTATGAGGAACGAAACGCATGACAAGTAAACTTTTTACAATTTGTCATATAATTTCCCAATACGGTTCTCAATATATAAAAATATATCTCGTTATCTCATATATATATATATATATATATATATATATATATATATATATATATATATATATATATATATATATATATATCTGCATGTATAGGTATATATACATCTATATATGCATATATACATAAATATATATGCGCATATATAAGAATATTTATATTCATATACATATATGTATACACATATACGTGTATATATATATATGTAATATCAGGAATATGTACATATAAATGTGCCATTCATATCAAGTGTTTCATGCTAAGATACACACACACACACATATATATATATATATATATATATATA